TCCCTGGCAGTGGCACCTGGGCACTACCTGTGTCTCTGTCATAGGAGGCAGGGGCGTCTCCACTGTATGCGGGAAACCCAAGGTGATAGGGAAGATCTATGGTGGCCGGGATGCGGCGGCGGGCCAGTGGCCGTGGCAAGCCAGCCTGCTGTACCAGGGCACTCATGTCTGTGGAGCCACCCTCATCAACTCCCACTGGCTGGTTTCTGCTGCCCACTGCTTTCTCAAGTGAGTCCTCCTTCCTCGGCTGCCGGCAGAGGTGCTGGTTGGGGAGGGGGGTGCAGGGGAAGGGGAGAAAAGGGGTGATGGGCGTCCCACAGCAGTCCTCTGGGCTTTTCTCTGGGGCGGTCTGTGGCCTTCAAACCCATGTCATCCCCGCCTTTGACCTGCATATCCTCCACCTGGACTGTCCTCCTTGTTCACCTGTCTAATCCTCCTCATGCTCTGCCCTCAGCCCTAGTGCCTGTCCCCTAACACAGATGTGCCCCAGGAGAGTGGCAGTGTTGGTCCTGGCTGCCATGTGGTGTGGACCAACCTCAGACCAGAGCTTCTTCTCAGTGTCCCCACATTCCTAGGTGTCAGACTCTAGACAGGAACTGGAACTGTGTGTATGGCCATCAGTTGGGCCGGCCATTCTGCTTACTTGTGCAAAACTAAGTTCCCAGGAGGAGCTGTGGTCACTGGTGTGACCAAGGGGACCCCTGCTGCCAGGCTGCGTAGGTGGGAGATGGGGCTCCCTGGGAGAGTGACATGACTGTGGAGGAGTCTAACTCACTGCCCCTCCTGGGCCTGGCCCAGTGCCCAGCTTCTGAACACATGAGGAGGGGTCTCCAGGGAGCAGGGGCATCACAGCCCAGGGCCAGGAGCTGGAGCTTTGAGAACCCAGAGTCCTGTCGGTACCTACTCTGTGCCATGCTGTATGCATGCCCCTCTGTGGCATCGGGGTGGTAAGACCCCACCTCACTGTGTCTCCATCTTGTCAGAAGAGAAAGCCCAACATGGGTGAGAAGAGCAGACCACATGGGGCTCACATGGGGGCAAGTGAGAAGCTCTGTGCTGCAGTGGGCGTAGAGAGGGAGGGGCTTGCTGGAGGAGGGGAGTGGGAGGGTGTCCGGGTGGATGAGCCATCCATTCAAGGTCAAGGTCACCACCCATACTCAGGGAACAAGGCAAGGTTCCATTCCCTGCGCTCATTTGCTCATTTAACAATCTTTTGTGAGCGCTTATAGCTAGTGGACAAGCAGCCCTCAGGTAGGAAGATGCTTAAAGAAAAGATGGGTCGGGAAAGGTGCGGGGGCCAGAAGGTGGGCTGCAGGGAGCCTTGCGAAGGGTGAAGATAGAGCTGGGACTGAACCAGAACTCCTCCTGTGGACAATCACAAGGCCTTCATTTGATGACCCCCCTACCCCACCATCCAGCACTAGGATTCAATGCTCCTCCAAGTCATGTGTGTGATGGAGAAGCCATATGCTGACGTAAGTAGAGTATCATCTAGCCTCAAGAAAGAAGGGCTTCTGACCATTAGAAATGGGGAGACAAAAGCTGCCTGGCATCATGGTGGGTAGAGGGGTCCAGAGGGGTGTGGGCAGTAAGATGAGGATACAGGGAGAGAGCTGGCTCACACTCAAGAGATGATGGTGACCACGTGCCCTTCCTCCTCCAGAAAATCTCATGTCCTGGAGAACTACCGGGTTTTGTTAGGAAACACCCAGCTGTACCAGCACACCAGGCACACCCAGAAGATACCCGTGAGCCGGATTATCATGTACCCAGACTTTGATAAATTTCATCCCTTTGGGAATGACATAGCCATGTTGCAGCTGCTCTTTCCTGTGAACTTCACCTCCTACATCATCCCCGCCTGCCTCCCAGCTCCTGGCATGCAGCCGCCCAGTAACTCATCCTGCTGGATAACTGGCTGGGGGATGCTCAGTGAGGAAAGTAAGAGGGCATGGGAGAGGCTGGGGGGCAGATGAGGGTAGGGAGGAGGGGCAGGGAGGGGAGGAGGACAGAGAGGTCCCCAGGCAAAGTGGCTGCTGGATCTTGGCTTGCCGTGCCTCATTTCCAGAAGACCAGACTAATCTAGTTCTAGTTCTGAAAGTGTGTGATCCTAAAGCTTCAGTGCTCCCTAAGTCCAGATCTCTGCAAGTCTGGGAATCTTTGAATTTTGGACTCAAGAATTGGGTTCTTAGAGTCTTTCTAAGGCTTGACTCCAAGATTTTAATCAACCATGGCTGTCAGATGACTTGATTCAACTCAGAAGTCATGGTTGGGGCCTGGTCCATTCCAGGCCACTGACAAACACCCCCAT